CCAGCGCGATTTGGGCTTCGCCTTAACCATTTTATTACAATAGCATAATTTTTTACTATGCTTAATGAGTTCTGCTTTGATTAGTTTTTCACATTGTTGTTGTCTGGGATCTCCTTCGTTGAGATCCCCTTCCATTTCAGATCCCGCCCTCCTTCGATCTTCGCTGGCGGCAAAATTGATGTTTGTTGGGTGTTCAGCCGCGGTTGGATACTCGCTTTTTTCCAAGGCGAAGAGGCAGTTTAATGACTTCGGCTGGTCTCAGATTTCATGTTGTTAGCATTACTTATTGAAACGTTTTAATTTAGCAATTGACTTTTATACGGGCCGGCGGCAAACGGCAATCATGTGGTTATATTGATCTGATAATTAGAATTTAACAAGGTGACAGAAATAACACAAATTATATTCCCTATGCACCTTAGTCGTGTAATTTTGCGACCTAACATTAAACAACAATTAACCTTCCTTTTGTTTATAATGTATTTTTATTGCAGCAACCTGATTGCTAGCTTACAATTTAATAACACAAGATTAAGTTATAGAAGCACAATATTTAATGAAGAAGAAGAAAAACTACTATAAAGTAAAACAAACTCAAAAATGCATTTTTTTGTTATAAAATTGTGTATTTTAAGAATCTATACATTTTGATAAAATTTGAAACTTCCCGCCTGCAACTGCTTTCAATTCAGAAAAGCAGTGTTCATTTTCTAGAGCTTTTCGACCAAAAGCTCTTGACGGAAATATGAGTACTAACATTGTACATTAAAAAGGTGAATAAACTAAACTGCTTGGACACTGCTTGAGCCCGCGTGTTTTAAAAACAACCATCAGTGGTGAAATTTGATTTTAAGCTTAATCGACAATATTCTGTTTGTTACTAATATATTTTATTGAGTACTAATCATTTATAAATAATTTTAGCCGATTAGTATATCATAATAATATAAAAGATGTTTAGCCAAAAAAAATCCGTTCCTTTAATTTAAAGGCTTCCGGCTAAACATAGCATTTTAATTGTATATATTAATGGGTTATAATTAGCCAGTCTTCCAGTTGTACTTACCTAAAATATGAATGAAAATATTAAAAAAAACCTATTTTGATGCCAGGTGTTTTGGAGCAGGTGCATACTTTGTTTTACTCTGGCAAAACGCTATCAAATTTTTGGTATCAGCTAGTATTATATATATGTAGATCCGCTGGGGGCCATCGACTTAGCCCACACGCATTGTGTTTATCAGCATTTTGCTCCCTTCAACGCGGCGCGTGGCTGGCTTTTATTTCCTCCCGTTTCCCACCCTGCATTTAGAGCAATGCCTATATATAAGCTAAATATTTATATGTAAATAAACTCACCGCCTTATTTTTGGCAAGTTTCGCGGTTATATCGAAGAGGCCTTGACATTGGACGTGTGTGGTGAAACAACAATAGTCAACTACGGAGTAGAAAGAATAATTATAAAAGTCACAAAAGAGGGAAACAACTTAAAGGCAAGATAGCTTCGGAAAACTATTTTTTGTATACCCTAAATGTTAAAATAGGTGGTAAAAAATATAATTTTTTTGCTTGTTAACTATTAAATGCAGTAATTTTTTGTTTGTATAAAGCTTGTTTACTATTTTCAATATGTTATATTATAAAACTGTTCTTTCTTTTTCCAAATATAAACGTAATTAATATAGTACGATGATTTCATGGATACCAATACTTTTTAATTATAAATATCTATTTAATTGCATTTGTTTAATAATTCTAATCTATCAACAAATAAGTTAATGTAATATTTATCTTCACTTAAATTAATATAAATAGTTAAATAATTATAATAAACCGATTTTTTGAAAGTTTTAGTAAAATGAAAATACTTTGTTAGAGAGTATAAAAAAATCTGACACATGCCGGAAAAAAAACCTCGCAAAAAGTTTAAAAAAAATGCTCTGAGTACCGAGCGGTCGGCGCATGTTACTGTTATTGTTATTGTTACCCACACATCCGCAGCGGATACGCTTGCACACACAGACGGCCAAGGCATTCGTGAATTCGATTCTCTGATATTGCTAAAAATAAAACATCTCCCAAGCGTCGTATCAATTGATAACCGATTTCATGCCGAGTAATTGTGTTCCTAAGAAATGCCGAGACGAAATCAAAACAAAAAGTATTATTTTTGGAAAACACGATCTGCGGTTTCACTAACACTGCCACGAAATTATGGTTTACTTTTCATTTTTATTTATATAATTGTTGTATTTAGATATTGAATTAAAGTAAGTGCAAATAAAGAGGTATTTGTATGTGATAATACGTTCTACATAATATGATTTACTTACAAAAATAATTGTGAACTTGTTCATTATTTATTGGACAACCAAAATAATAATGTATTTCCATTTTTTAATTATTAATAGCTTTTCAAAAACATATCCTAAAAAAAAATATGTAATCTAAAGTTTGGTTCAGACACCTCATAAATTGCTAAAACGTTTACCTATTGAACTTTAAATGAATTTTTTATTTACAAAATATTTCTTTGAGTTTAGGCGAAGGCGATAAGAAAATACCAAAAATTACTGAAATAAAACTGCATAATCTTTAGATTGGCGATAGCACGACCCGGTTTTAAATACTTAGATTATTCGAGTTCAGTTTATTTTCGTCCCTAACTAATCAGTCAAAAAGCCGTCCGACCGAAGCATGTTTTGGTCTAAATTTGGAATTAGATTTGATTACGCACTTTCATTTTATGGGTGACTCGATAGGGAGGAAAGTCCGATATTACGAGTGTGTTTATGGAGCTCTTGCATTGACGCAAAAGAGTGACCACGCCCCTCTGCTTTATGGCAATTAAATGACACTTTGCCAACGAATAGATGGTCGTGGGGTGGTGACATTTGTGGGCGGGGAAAATGCAAATGGCCAGACATGTGCGTGCTGCCTTTATGGTCTTGTTTCTTTTGTCTTAAGCTATGTACACGTGTCGGCAATTGAAATAGAAAAGCGGCTATGGCCCAGACACCCACGAGCCCATTAAAATCACACATAAAGAACATGGTAGAAAAAGGGGATGAGGTTCCGAAAGGGTGGTTTTAACGGCCGACGTCTCATGTGTTATGCTAATTTCTGTTTTATTGTTCGCTGCTCACATTTTGCTGCCATCTTTGTCGGCAGCAGACGATTAAAGCCAAACAGGAAATCAGCCAACGCTCCCCGTTTACCGTTAGTGTCGCAAGCAGAGGCAAAAGCCAAAGGCCATTGAATTGCCTTTTCATTACGACAGCGTCGAGAAAGGTCGGGCGAAAATATATCTTCAGGAACAGTAGGACCCCGAGAGGAAAAATAAATACCTAATTATACAGTAGACTTCTTCGTAAGAAAAAGGAGTACAAAATCATAAAAATTTTTGAGCCTTTCAGTTTAGGGACCAACTCCCTAAAACCAATTCTAAATATTTTATGAACAATAAAAAACAAAGATATTTGCTTTACTATAATAAAATCATGTATGTTTTGGTCTCGCAACAAATTGAATAATTTCAAAACAATTTGAACTTATTGTAATATTTTTATGTAGTTTGTATGTATATTCTTGGCACCCAAATAATATTTTATTTTTACTGCGACACTAACACTGCCTATGAATTCGGCAATAGTAAAAGTAAAAGGGTTTGAGTTATGTTTAATCTAAATATTTTAAAGTCCAAATTTCGTTATTATCCAATCGTTTATAGTTTAAGAATTTTGACTGTCTTTATATATAGACACCCGTCAGCGCAAATACAACTCATTGAAACGCACGGGAAGAGGGGAAAATGGGGAAGCAAAAGCAATCGGCCGTAACAAAATTTCCGACACGTGCGACAAAATTGCCTTCCATTCGGGGTGGAGAAAGTGTTGGGTGGTGGGGAAAGGCCCGAGGGCTCGGATTTAGGCAACCAGAAAGGCACAACCAAAACAAACCCGGCCCAAACACAAAACCCACCCCTGGGATTCCCCATTTTCTGGCAGTGTGCCTCAACATTGTTGCGGCAACATTTTTCAATTGATTGAGATGCGTTGGCGACTGTTAAATGAATGTGTGTCAACAGTTTTTTGACTCTTTCTATAAATAGTTTTATTTTTGATGAATGCTCAAGTATGTGCAAATAAATACTTTGGCTGAGCCCATTTTTTATTGATTGTGTTTTTGTAGATACGACCAGCGATAGTGATTTAAAGATTAATTTGCGTACAAAAGTCAATTTTTTAGTTAATGACTAACAGTAAAAATATTTAAGATGTACTCTAGCTTTTTGTTAAAAATAAGACTCAATGTGCAAAAATGTAATGATTTTTTAGCTATTTCTAACCGTTATTCCTTGGAAGAAATAGGATATAGATGTCCAATCCATTACTGGTTACTAGTCCTTAAATTGAGCGACTAATTCCCATAGCGTATTCAGAAATTGTTTCTGGGCTTGTTTTCCAAAACATCTTTTTGTAGCATACTTTTTTAGAACATAATTAACAATAATTTTTACCCGGTTTCAAACTATTAATTATTATGTATTTCGTTATAAATAAGCACAGAGAAGGAGCAATAATACTATTATTTGTAATAATCATTCGTTTTAAGTTTTTTTTTTATCAATAATAATAATTATGTTTGATTATCATTTTTTTGCTCAAAATTAATCATTATTTTTGATGAATATTAATGTAAAAATGTTTTAGAAAACGGATAGATTTATGGAAGACAATAAATATGCCGTTATTTATTACATATTTATTAAACTTCGAAGATAGCGTCCTTTTAATATTTGTATTACAAAAATATTTGTAATATTGTGCAATGCTCTCCACAGTCAGGAACTGCTTTTGAATATTTTAAAATAATTTATTAATATTCCCTGACCACATTTCGCCACTTTTGTGGGGTGTACATGTGAAGCGACTGCCGGCTGAGCTGCCATTAAAACGTCGCTCGTTCAACGGACCGCGTTCATTCTGCTCTGGGCGGTTGAGGCGTTCGCAACTCGAGAGCTTTGGATTTCGCACCGCGCACGAGCGTTTAGTTTACGTATATCGCAGTCGGATTCACATTCGCGTATTTCGTATATCCGTGCTTGTTGTTTCCCAGCGCGTGTGTGTCACTGTGTGTGTGTGTGTGAGTGGCGGAGTGTGTAGCTGTGTGTGTGTGACGACTACACGCGCAACGAAAGCGAAAGTTTTGTTTGGCGCGCGTGTTGCCATTGGCGTCTGCGAATTTGCAAACACACACGTTCCCAACCTAGAATAGATTAAAAGCGTGTGAAAACAAATAATAAAAAAAAAAGAAAGATAATGTTCATTATTCCCAATGAGGGTGCATTAAATTAAGGGAATCTAGAGCGGAAGAAACACGACATCAACATAATTTCTGCAAAGACCCGGTAAGTCGGCGGGGTTTGAGAAAAGGTTGCCCATAAATCTCTCGGCATTAGCATTAGCATTTGTGTGCCACACGTGCGGCGCGAAATAACAATAATAAAAAAAGAAAATTGCACTTGACAGCCGACTTCCGATGCTGAAAGCTCTCCTTCCAACTAGAGAGGCTGTCTGTGTTTTTTTTTCCCCCATGAGAAAACCCATTTTTTTCATGTCTGCCTCTCACCTTCTGAAGGACGAATTTAGGTCAGGATTCGTGGGCCTTATCATATGACTCATGCCATGGCCTTTGCCCTTTTGGCGACTCTTGCAGTGGTTGCAATTGCATTACAGCGAGGTCACGTGGCGTATGCGCAATATTGATTTCTTAAGCTCACTAAATATTACCCTCTAAGCTCAAACTTTTAAAAGTAAACAAATTAGAGAAGTAAATAGTCAAGGATGGGACACACTGAAACCAACCATATGCAAACCACAATGTTTAAGACATAGAAAAATAAAACCTTAGCATGACTTTAAAGAGTTATTTAGAGTTTATTTAGATCTTCGCTACCGACTTCCAAGAATTCAGATATTTTAGTACTTCCTTCCCTTAATGTGGTAGTGTTTCTTTTTCTCTTTTGACATAAAAAAGTCTACGCGTGTGAAATGTTCTTTAAATCAGCAAAAACAAAACAAAGACCTTTGCCTTTTCGAAAAAAAAGTAAATAGAAGTTGGGGAATTTTTTTTTTCTGGGCCAGATTTTGCAGCTGCTTTTTACGGCGTGCTAAAAAGAAGTGATGGCTCAGCTAGAGTAAATCAAGCTGTGACTCCCACAATTGACATCTGTTTGTTTTTTTTATATATTTACTTGTTGTAAAACCAAGGTATTTGTTTAACTGGGATTTAAGACTTGGCAGGGCATTGGCAGAAATAAGAAGCTGTCTTTCGAAAAGAATTTTTTGAAAAAAACAACTAAAACAATTGAAAGGATTTTAGCACCTTCAATTGTTCTTAAGTCAATTTAAAGCATTTGGTTAATAATGATCCTCTTAGTAACACACGCTTTATATTCACAAGTTTACAGCAATAACCGAGATATATTTAAAATTATAATAATTTTGTTTTACTTAATCAAGAAAAATAAAATTTTAAACTGAAAAAAAAATTGTTTAAAAAATTTGTATACCCAGATAAAATTGACTTTGACTAAACATTTTACGGTTGGCAGTTTATTTTTTCTATAACTACATTTTTATATTATTAAATATTGATCAATATAATTGGTTTGAAATACTCATGTTTGTTAATGTCACATAATTCCACTTAAATTGAGACCATTACATACTTCATTTCTACACTCTTAATTACTTTTAAAATTAAGGGCTGCCTTGCTTTAAAAATATTAATTTCACATTTAATTTCCTTTTCAAATTAAACAGTTTAGTCTTTGGTTAATTGATATAACATTTCGGCCCTTTTGGTAACAGGAAGTTGCCATAAAGCAACGTGAACATTAGGCAGGTACCGAGTCCATATCAATATCTATGATAGGTAACTCTTGCGCGTGTTCGGAGACCGCTCCATTCATGACACCCCATGACGCCCATAATCGTAGATTTATCATTTTTGCTCGAACGCGCGTTCCGCATTACAACAACAGACGAAGCAGTACAACAAATACGAATACAAATATGAGCCCCATCCGATAAATAAATATAAGCAAACAAGAACACGGGTAGGGGCTAAAGACGACAAAAAATACGAAGCTGATATGCGGATCGTCAGCTTTGGCCCCAAATGCGGAGAAAAGAGAGCGCGCGCAGCTCGAACGGCGCAACACGTGCGTCGTTAATTCAATACAACAAAAAAAACATACACAAAAAATAATAAATAATAGCAGCAAAAAATAAGAAGAGCAAGAGCAAGATTCGCACACACGCAACCACTCGACCGTTTTCTCTAGGCCACTGGGCATGTGAGAGGGACAGAGATAGTGCGATAGCATAAAAGTTCATTAACGGCATGTGAGCTTTCCTCCGTATGTTTGTGTGCTGTGTATGTCCATTGTTTTTGTGGGGCTCTCTTGTGGCTTGTGTTTTAGATTAACGGGAGAGCGGCTATTATCTCTCTCCCGCAGACAAGCCTAAATGCACTGCGAGAATATGTTTCAAAGATAAGCTTGAATTGAGGCTACATTTGATTTTCCCAGTGGACTCTTTGTATAGATATGAAAAAACATGGTTAGGGCCATTACAAATAATGAAAATGTGAAACTATCATACAGATTATTTAATATATTTTAGAAAGTAAAAAGGAATATATAAATTGTCCAACAACAAATGTGACTTGTAAACCTTAACCAAAAATACCAATTCTTGATGCCAATTTATTCATAATATATTTTGATATATACAATATATTCATTTAATCTTAGAATTAAAAAAACTTATTGCTGTATTTTTTTATAATTTATTGTGTATAATTTTACGTTATCTGTTAAAAATTACTATTTTATATTTTAAATTTTTGTTTGCCAATGGATTTATTCCAATGATATTTTTATAATAGCTTTGGCTATATTTCTATATAAAATTCTTAAATTTTTTTTAACTGTGTGGATCACAAGTTTATTGTTTTCAGTTGGTTTTTCGCCCTTGTCTAGTCGTTGTGCTCGTGTCTATAAAATTATCGCCAGTGGACTACCCGGCACTACCGACTGCGCTTGAATGACAAAGTCTGCTTTGTTTTTGTGTTTTTTTTGGCTTTAATTTATGCAGGCAACTACAAAAATAATTCTCTTTTTTGCTTGGCTTTTGGTCATGTCGTTTGGCATCTGTCTGTGTTTGGTCGCACGTGTGCGGCGATTTGCGCTTGTGTGCGTCGATGCCCCCCCTTTCAATATTAAATGTAACATCTAAAAATGTTAACGGCTTCTGTGAGCCCAATGAATGCCAAATTTGAAACACGAGACGAAGCTCTAACAATAAAAAATTGCCTAATTTTCTACGGTATAATTAATTCGTCTAATGACTTATTAAGGGGATCACACTGTGGGATCCAAAGAGATTTATTCAAATCCCATGGAATAAATTAACCATTTCCGGTAGGAACTTAATGTTTATTAATAGAACAAAACGATTTGTTGGGATGCTGTGTGTTACATATGTAATGTGAAACAGGCAAGTTCGTTCAATAAAGTCTCTTGAAATTTATTTAAAAATAATATAATTGTCCCCATGGCGTATACGCAATGTTTACATATTTATTTGGTTAGCTATGGAATTTTCCATGATTACCGGTAGATAAGTGACATAAATCTAGTATTTCTGTCATAAACATGACAGAAATTTAAATTTAACACAAAGCTAGGTTTAACGAGTCAGACATAGTTTTCACAACAGTTTTCACATCGAATCAATTTTCAAATTTTGGGAAATTTAATAAAAATCAGTTTGGAAATTCAATTAAACAAATTAGTATTTGCTTGTGAATTTATGCAAACAAAATAGTTTAGAAGTTCGTTTATATATTTCAAATTACTACTTTTAATTACGGCACTTTATAAATTTTTTCGGTGTGGTAGCTATCCATCGAAGTGTCCTCTTGAACTGCCATCCCACAGCTGTTTGCACTTGAACAACTCGCTGGCCGGCAAGTGGGCAAACACTTGGTTCGTTACCGGGCCATAGAGCTAATTGCTGACCCAATAACGAGAGACACACGACGCCTTAATAAATATAAATGTAAGCGTTAATGAGTGCACGCGCCATTATTTGTGTGAGGAAATACTCGTTTCAGGAAAATTAAACCGACTCTTCCCACTCCAGTTAAATATGTATATATTTATATCTATCTTTATTTCCCTGCCATTAACAAGCCACACGTGCGGCTAAGACAAGCAAATACGCGCTCAATGGTTGTTTCCATCTATTGTCTTTCCTTCTCCCGTTTCGCTATATATATTTTTTGCTCGTTTTATGACCACATTAGCGAATTATATTTCACTGCTGTTCAAAGCGCAAAGACACAGACTATGCAGACATAAATTAAACAAAGGCGAGGCAAAAGGTTCTGGGGGGTTGGCCAACACGCGCCGCTTCTGGTTTCTGTTGGCAATTTCCCGTATTTGAGTTTTTGGGGATGCCCCTCGGTCTTCAACTGTCGGTGAACTGTTTTGGCCACTCTTTTGTAATGCCAACTTAGGGTCAGACTGCTCGGTTGTCTTCGAAAAAAGTTGATTTCCAACTGACTCACTGGCCAAGAAACCGTAAATCCTACTTATAAAGCCACGAGCGCATTATTTTTAATTGTCTATATTTTTTTTTAATGATTAATTTTTCCTTGTGTGGATAACGATTCCTGGAATGAGTAACAAAGAAAGTTTTCTATAAAAAATATTCGTGCTAATGACTCAAATAACTGCTATCAGTATTTTTAATTCGTAGAATCATATGGGACCTTGACCTACCCATGAAATAAAACTCATTTATAAAAACATATGTTGGTTAATTTGTTGTTAAAGTGTGTTTAAATTGTTTTTAATCAAAAAGTCATGTTTCTGGTTAACCAGTTAGATTATATCTTAAAATTACCTCACGACTTTTGATAAATTGTCAACAGATTTTTGGATATTTGATAACCAACAATTTTTATATCGGGTTGACGATCCAGAATAATTTATTTATTTACTCCGAGGTCAAATACCGATAATGATTTATTCTTTATTATAACAGTCTGATACAGAATTGGTTTTATTTAATTGCTTCAATTATAAAAAAAACACGATTTGAAATAACAATAGTAAATTGTGGCTACTTATAATTGAGTTTGCCCAATATACGATTTTGAGGCCTTGTTATACTAAAAAAGGAGTAAATAAGTTATAATTTTAGATTAAACTGTAAAGATGCTTTAAGGACATACATATATTAATAATCTCTAAACTAAGTTGATAAATATATACGCTCTGTTGCCTGACAAATCGAGACACACGTGCTCGCAAATGTCATTAATTAATGGTAA